TAATAAGAAGAAGAAGAAGAAGAAGAAGAAGAAGTAGAAGAATTCCCTGAAACCTTCTTTTGATGTCGTTTCCTGATAATAAAATGTCTTGGCTTTGGTGGTTTTATTATTTTTTTAAATAATGAATTTGAAACATATGTTTAGAAATATTTCTAAAATTAGCTGTAGCGAGGGTAAAAAAATGAATTAGAGTAGGTAAATATCTTTCGTTAATATTTCAAATACAAAACGTCTCAGACATTTAGCTTGTTTAGTAAAAATCAGAGCTAAATGAATACCTTTACAAAAGGAGTGGCTGGCGAGGAGGTTGGGGAGGAAAGGGGGGGGGAATCAGACCATCGGCAGAAAAAGGCGACGTATTTACCTAGGCAACACGACAAGGTGGGTTATAGGGAAGGACCATGATACTAATACATGTCGTCGCCCTAGAGTTTAAAAGTTTGATCTCTGCTCAATACCTAGTTTTGAGATATTTGACACAAAATGCCAAGCTTTTTCGAAAATAATTCATTGAATACCTTGATAATGACTACGAATAATCTTACGATTTTGATAGAGCAGCAGATGTAGCGCATTAAATTTTGGTTCCTGACTTCTTGATCATAGTAACTCAAAACTGCCAAACATGTCAGAAAGAACCTGTAATTCTAAGGTAACGATGGGCATATTTAAAGCATCCCTCCGGAGAATTGATTGGCCAGCCATGATTATAGGATATCGTTGCTTACTTCAGATCTGGCTCTTAATACGGGTGCCCACTACGGCTGGATTGGGCCGATCGCCCGACTCGATCGCCTGAAACTGAAAACAAACACGTTTGTTTTTGAGGCGATCGAGTCGGTCGTTCGGCCCGACACAGACTACAACCGAAGTTAAGGACCACCTTGACGAACAGCATTGATTCTTTTTAATCCGCAAAAAGACAGCAAGGAATGTTTCAATTTTTTTTGCTGTAAAAGTGTTAAAGAGTTGGTCGCCTTTGTCAGACTTAAAATCAGTAAGAAAATGGCTGCTAATGTTTTTGACTACCAAATTTTGACTGTCCTCGGAAACTGCAAATTTACTTTTTGTGTGACTTTGATCAATGAGTTTCAAATTAAGTCCACATGGAAATGTATTTTTAAATGGACATAAAAAAAGATGTCTAGGCTCCTCCCCCCTCCCCGCAAAATGAGTAAGTATTGCCCAACGAGCAGAAAAAATAACCGTATCATTGATTTCATTATTTTGAAGAGCGCCTGATTTCACCACAATGACAAACAAACACACACACAC